CAACGATGCGACCGCGATGACGTTGGCCATGAATTCTTGCGTCGCCCCCGGGAGGCAAACCACCTCGCTCCTGGAGGCGAGCCTTGTATTTGTATACCACCTGCACTCCCGTGTCTTGCTCTTGGCTTGTTGGGGTTGACGTTCGAACTAAATCCCACGAAAGGTTACGCCTATCTGCATAGAGGAGAGGAGCTAAACGTAATAAGACGCAAGTTCGTTGTTCGCCGAGAACCCCGCTGTTCCTTGCTCCCCTTCCGAACTTGGTGGTCGGTCATGTTACGCATGTTTTTTGGCACTAAAATGGAGGGAGGCGTTGTCGACAGGTGTTGACCGACCTTGCCTGCCTGCCTTCCACATTGCGTGTGTATAGACGCCCAGCCTTGGAGGCGCGTTGCAACCCGGGTTGCGTGTGAATGAGCGACAAACATGAATTGGCCAACTTGACGACGTGAAACAGATGGGAGGCCTGCAGAAGGCAACCCGCTGGGAGGGACCTATGCTAACCGACTCTGGGGGGTACCAGATCTTCAGCATGGGGCACGGGTCCGTGGGAGATGAGATCAAGGGCCGGCGCGGCGCGGAAGGGGGCGCGGAGTTTGGTGAGTGAGAGACGGCGGAGTCGTGACTGCTGCTGTGGCTGGCCCTCCCTCTCCCTCCGTTCTTGTGCACGAGAGTGTCTTACCGTTGGCGCCTCGAGGAGGAAGAGCTGTGGTTGGTGGTATTGCTCTTGACGATATTGGTGGCGAAGCCTTTCTTGAGCCCCCGTGTAAGCTCCCCCGCTCCATCCCCTGCCCCTCCCTTGTTTGTTTGCTGCAGTACTGCGTTGGCCCCCGCTCCTCTGTCCTTTCGTAAATATCGTGGTGGTTGTTGTTGTTGTTGTTGTTGCTGCTGCTGCTGTTATCGTGGGCAGCGCCTTCCCTGGTCAGCATTTCCGAAAAGGGTGCGCGATTCAAGAGCTACTACGATTGCTCCATCAAGTCTCTCACCCCTGAGCGGTCTATCGAGATTCAGAGGCAACTGGGGGCCGACCTTGTGGTGGTATTAGGTGAGACAGGGGGGGGGAGGGGTCCACTGGTCACTGGTGTTGATATGGTTCGGTGGACTATTATGATTGTGCATCTGTGTTTCCTGCATACAGCAGTCGTTCGGCCAGTAGTGGCCATGTATCCTGATTCGAAGTGCGAACGGGCGCGAGGGGGGTAAGGGGGGCATGATGAAAAATCCAATGCTGTGTAACGATACTTGTACGTTTTGATGTCTTGTGTCACGCGCGGCGAGGGTGTAGAGTACGCTCGTTAATTGGCAGCTGAGGCAAAGACCACGCGCTCGATAAGCCTGTAAACAAGCCCATTCGCACGCTCAGAACGTTCTGGATATCAACAAAAAGTTATTTTTGCAGCCCCGCGCCCCTCGCCGCCCCCCGTCGTGCGTGTGAGTTGCTTCGTACCTAAGTGTGCCGAGTACGCCCTGCTCCTGCCATAGCCACCACCGCGGAGCCCGTCGTTTCGGGAACCAAACAACATGGGAATCATCCAATAATTTTCACGTCATCGAAAGTGCGCTATTCAGGCTATGAACCACGACAGCGATGTTCGTTTCTATTTATTTTTCTTCACGTTCGTTCTCGTTCTCGTTCTCGTTCTCGTTCTCGTACTGTTCTGTTCTGGCAGACGAGTGCACCCCGTTCCACGTGGACAAGGACTACACCAAGTCCTCCATGCACCGCACGCACCGGTGGGCGATGCGAAGCCTCAGGGAGTTCATCGACGGGGACGATGACACTCAAGCGGTGGGTGTGTCAATGTCTGCATGTTGTTAGGGGTGTTTTTATTGTTTGCATCGACCGCGCTAACCGGCCAACCAATGACAAAAAATCTCAGTCCCAGTGCTGGTGGAAACACAAAATGCTTCTGTGATCAATAGTTTGTATGTGTGAGAGAGAAGGGGAGGGAGGGATGAACGGAATGAAGACACATCTAGGTGGGGGCAGGAAGCTGCGTTTGGGATGGCACGAAGCGGCGGAAGGGGTGGAACCCAAGAGAGCACGACCTGAGCTGTCCGCGGAGTGTCACATGACCACCAGATACAACGGTCGTTGTTTTGTGTCCCCTCATCCCCCCCCTCCCCACTCTGGCGGACCACGTCCTCGTCTGCTTCCGGCCGACTCTTTCACCTACAATCGCACGGGTGGTACGTGTTCGATGGCGTGATGTCCTGCGGTGCGTTGTTGGCGTCACGCCTGGTCACGGCACGTTTGTTGCAGCTGTACGGCATCATCCAGGGCGGCGTGTACCCGGACCTCAGGAACGAGGCAGTGGAGTTCGTGAACAAGGCGCCCTTCTTCGGAATCGCCGTCGGGGGTAGTCTTGGAGCTGACAAGGTAAATGTTAACATAGTAGTCTAGGTGTGCGTGCGCGGGCACGTGGTTATACGCTTGGTCGTGGATCCTTGGCTCTTCCGTATATCACTCCATCTCTCTCTCTCTCTCTCTCTCTCTCTCTCTCTCTCTCTCTCTCTCTCTTGTTCTGGGGGTGCAGTGGATGGCAGTACACTTCTACCGCCCGACAACCCAGAGGTGTCAGATCGTCGATGGCCACCTGGACCGCCTCGCCCAGAAGCACGTAGAGACTAGGGTACGTCTTGTGTCAGAGTGTCAACAAATAGCCTATGCAGAAATTTTCAAAGGCGGCGTTGCTGTTGCCCACCCGTGCAGGAACACTTGGTGAGTCTTGCCATAGGTTCTTACAAACATTTGACAGTAGTGTATTGGCTTCTGTNGTGCCCGCAAAACGGCTTCGATATTTCTCAATGCCCTTGCAGTGTCAGCGCTAGCACTCCCTATTGTCGAAATTGTCATAACCCGGTGTGAGTTGTGCCAAGATCACATTGCAATGTGGTGAAAAAGACATACATGCCTACTGCTGTGCTCTAGGCTTTTCGCTACCCTCTCCTCCTCGGTGGCGGACGTGCCCCTGTGTCCCTTCCTCTCTTCACCCCCTCCCTATTTTTTTTGTCATTGCACTCTTTCCTCCCTACGCCCCCGTCCCTCTTGAACTGTCAGGCTACAATGCACCAAGTGGTGTCTCAGACCATGGCGAACGTGCGACGCGACCGTCCGGTTCACCTTTTGGGGATTGGCGGAATCGCCGATATCTTCCACGGGGTGAGCGTTACAGGTGGTAGATACATTGTGGCGTTTTTGTTGGAGCAGTTTATTCGACGAGATGACGAAAATCTACAAGCTGCACAACGCAAAAGACACAGCAGCATTTCGGCTTGTACCATGACATGTTGGCATAAACCGCTTTGAGCGTGTTGTTGTGCGTTCCAAGCGGTTTATGCCCTTGACGGCATATAGCACAAGGGATGGCAGGAGACGGACACGTTCGACTAGGTATCACGTGTCCTGTCCCTTCCTCCACCTTGCAGACGTTTTGTGCATTGAGGCAAAATATGCCGTCAGAATGGACCAGGACACCACGGCAAGAGGGTACTGGTAAGGTACATATGACAGAAAAGTCTTGGCTGCGGTTGACCTCTTGTCTCGTTTCCCAGTACGCAAAGTGTAGATTTTCCCATATTCCATCAAAAACAGACGACGGGATGGAGTCAACTCGGATCATCCGGCACGGTACCGTTGGCAACCTGTCGTGGAGTGTCCACCGAAACTTGATTTATCACCGATTATCGCACCATGTGTAACTTTCGAAAAGGATGTGTGCCTGTAATATGCATGCCACCACGCTTCGTTAGTCCCCTCTCACCCTCGCACCACCATTCCTAGGGCGCTCCCTCGTGTGGTCTGTTGGTCTTTCGAAACCAAAACGGGCTAAATTTCGTTGTGGTTGTTATAACACAAAGGTCCGGCATGGAATAGACACGTATGACTGCGCGTTTTTGATTGTTGTAACACAAAGGTCCGGCAAGGGATAGACACGTTTGACTGCGTGCACCCTACGAGGCTCGGCCGTCACGGCGGAGCGCTAGTCAAGGCCAGCTTCTGGACCCGCGAGCAGGAGCTGGAAGAGGAACGGGCCAATCAGGGCGCGGCAGCAGCAGAAGCAGCAGCAGCAGCAGCAGCAGCGGAAGAGGAGGCCTCTGTCTGTGGGGACACGATGGCCGCTGGGGTAGGGGCGAGTGAGAGGAGGAGGAGGAGGAGGAGGAGCGGTGACGTCCGTTCGAAGCGGCACCCGGTCGTGCCCAGGGAACACGTGAACCTTCTTAAGGGGCGGTACCGGGAAGATCACCGGGTGATAGATGAGGATTGCGGCTGTCCCACCTGCCGGGGGGGGTGAGTGACGGCGATGTCTATCCTTGTGTTTCGTCGGTAGCGTTGTTCCTAACGTTGTTGGTGTTGTTGTCCGGGTTTGGAATTGTGCATTCTAGTACTTAGCTGGGGAGAGGGTGCCCGAGCCACGTGCTGCAAGTCAACGTCGTTTCGCATTTTTTATTTCGTGTACAGGTTTGTTCGTCGCACCATGTTCCTGCCACACAGGATAGTATGCTCGCTTTCTCTCTTTCCCTCCGTTATGATGGTTTGGTCCTCTTGGCTCGACTGCTGTTTCTCGCGCCTCCTGACCCCCTGTTTCCCTCTCTCAACAACCGTCCGTCCGCCCCCCCCCCCCCCCCCCCCCCCCCCNCACTTCGTGAACTCGGCAACCAGGTTACCGTTTTTTTTTTCTACCTCTGTTTTTTTTTTGGCGGTAGCCATAGATAATGGTCGTCGAGTAGATCATGTTGTGCGGGGTGGAGAAGCCTCACTCCGCGCAAGGGGGATGATCGCACCACGTTGTGTTAATATGGTCAAGCACCCTCGAGGCAGTTACACAGTGCTTACAACTGTCTCTGGAAGTGAAAGCACCAGAAAATAAATGAAGTCATACGCAGCTGTCATCCGTATGCAAGCAAGNCTCCCTTCACAAAATGCTTCACGATAAAACCACAGCTACACCCGGGCCTACATCAACCACCTGGGTAGGGCCGGCGAGCTCCTTGGCGGCATGCTGGTCTCCCAGCACAATGTCTTCTTCATGAACGAGCTCATGACGTCGATTCGGACGGCCATTGCCGAGGGCAGGCTGGCTGAGGAAGAGAATAAGTGGCTCGCGCCGGGGCTACGGGCTAGGGATTTCCACAAGAGGGCGGCAGCGGAGGCGGCGGCGGCGGCGGAAGCGGCTACAGGAGAGGAAAGCGGGGAAACCCATCACTAAGCTTGGAATCGGGTGAATGATTGATATGATTAATCGATTGATTGATTTTCGGAGGGGGGAGGGGAGGGCAGTAGATGATGACTGAGATTCCAAGTTCGATAGGTCCGTTGATCACGTCAGGATGGCGGCTGTAGAGGCTTCGCCAGCGGTAGGTTGGGCGGGGGGGGGCGTACTCATGGTTTGCATTCCATAATTGCTAGGGATGGGGAGGGGGAGTCTTGACACGGTAGGAGGGAGGGTGAATATTGGCTTGTGTATTTGCGACCACGTACTGCAAGTGCTGCGGAAATGCTGTACATGGAACGTAGTGGTACTCGATTGCTCCCTTAGTCCTTGGGTGTACAAAGGTTTGTTGCGTCCCTTGTACAGGTGCGTCCTGTTTCTGTCTGGCGGCTGCGACTGCTCCGGTCATGCCACTGCTGAGCGTTCTTACGTGCTTATTTGTGTGTAAAAAACGGCTATGGTACGGTGCCCGCTCTACGGTTGTAGACGACTTTTGATTGGAAAACCAAGGAAGGCGTTTGACCGCTTCGAAAGAAGATGAGAAAAGCCGGGAGGCTTTCGCCGCTTGGATTGATACCCCCCCCCCCACGAGTACATTTTGGGCCGAAGTGTTGTGTTTGTAGGAGTACCATGTTATTTTGCTGGCCACCGGCGGACTCGTTTCGACGCTAAAGAAATAGCTCTACCCTAAAGGGTTGTCGCTGGGGGGAGGGGGGCACGACTTGTGGTTCAGATGTTGGAAAAATCAAAACGAAACTTTTCGTTCTTCGTGGCCAGGACGCAGCAAGCTTCCCCGGCTGCTTTCTCCTTGCCCTTGCTTCTTGAAGGTTAGGTTGGTCAGTTGTTGTTATTTTTTGACAATCGATGTGATGACTGTTTCTAGTGGGGGCCTCAGCGGAGAGGGAGTGCGCGCGCGCATGTATGTGTGTGTGTGCCGCGGGAGCTTAGTGGCGTATTCACGAATTTTCAGAACGCCAGTCCTCCAGTGTGGTGCCCCCCGCCGCGTGTCTTGTTTTTACGCCCCCCGCCCCCTCCTCTTGCATTGTTTGCGGAGGTCACGTTTTACGCAAGCTTTTCTTTGCCTTTGAGACGGCAGCTGTTGTTTTTCTGTACTCCCTTGTCGTTGTGATATACTCCATATTCAATATTCAGCACTGATAATGCTGTTGCTGCAGCAACTCGGCAAACGGCCACGAAATTTTCCATTTTAGGCATAAAATGTAGGCTAGGATGAGATATCTCCATTTTACCATCACATGTAGGTGTAGGTGATGAGCGATTCCGTGCATTCGACATGTTATTTATTTGTTGTACCCGCGGGTGACAATGCACATCCAGGGTATGTACAGAGGAATTGAGGACTTTTCGTCTTCAAGAGTTTTTCACGTGTACCAGGTAGCAGGGAGTTCGTCGCGAGAGTATATACCTACGGGAAACGTTTTTCGGGTGGGGAGGGTCTAGGTCTGTGCGGTTTTGTTATGCCGTGTCTCGTACACAGCGTTGCAGAGCGCTTTTGCTTGTAGTCGAAATATTGAACTGTACCAGGCTTTTACACTAGGCAATTAATTGCACGTTGCAGTTGGGCGAATGTCAATGTCGGGTTGTAGTACGCTGGTCTGTACCACTAACCACGCAGTAAGGCTTGGTATTGTGCAGCGCGAAGAAAGGGCGGCGGGGGTGAATACGAGACTGATTCTGTACAAGAGGAAGAGGCGATGTGTAGGACGGGGTACTGCTATTGTCATCGTGTGTGTGCTTTTTATTTTTAGACAAAGTTTATAGGTCTACAACCCCGGTGATGCGCACGTTACGTGGGTACGTCCTACATTAAGCACCCTCTCAGGCTGCCCCTGTTCCTCTGGCCGTTCTTCGATCATGTCGAGTGGGCATTGCCATGGTCTCGACGATGAAAGCACACCTGCCTTCCGTTATTTTTTTGTTCTTTTTAAACGTTTCTATTTATTTTTCTTGGTCGTTTCTCCCGCACACAGAGCAGTGCTGTTTTTTTTTCCTGTCGAGGTGTTTGTTTTGCGGTACACCACCGACCGACAGCAACAGCAGAAGCTGTCTCGGGATGCCCCGTGGCAGATCTGGTTTTGAACAGCAAACACAAGGATGATGATCAGCCAGGTTGCTTGTGAACGGTAGGCTGGTCCAGCGCAAACCCGGCATATCGCTCCGTCCCGGCATTCACCGAGGAGGGGTGCGAGGTCAATTGTCTTGACATTCGTTCGTAGGGCAATTGCGTTACGTAAGTACACCCCCCGCCCATCCCATTTGTTTGATCTCGTTTTTGTTTTTGTTTTTGTTGTGGGAGTGGGTGTGTACACCATCGGAAGGTTGTCCTGGCGTATCTCTGTGTAGCAACTGTGTAAACGGTCAGGTGAGTACGAAGGCACACACATATTTCAAGAGCAGCGTCTTCTGTAGATCTTCGGGGGGGGGGGAGGGGTACTCATAGCCGGGCATGTTGTAGTCGTCAAGACCACTGACTTCGCATCCCCGGAACGGAGCACGCCGGGTTGTCACCGGACCGGGCCCTCACATCACCAAGCGCGAAGCACCGTGAGGTATTCGGCGAGTCGCATGAAGGGTGCGCTGCATCCTGGTAAGGGTGTCCAGCATCTGGTGCTTACTTCCGTGCGGATGACAGCTAAACAGCCACCAGAGGTGTTATAATGCTTGATGACGATGATCCCGTCCTCTCTGTTGGTTGACGGTGATCGACCAACGTCGGCTACCGGCCAACATCCATCGGTGGATCTGGCATGTGCCCGGCCCTAGTCAGTCGCCATCAAGAGGTTTGGAATAGATGTGTATTCAAGCTACCGTATACCTGGATACAAAACACAGTCGACCAGAGCGAACTCGCTCGGTTATGCTTCGAAGTTCTTGCCAGGGTTTTGTGAATGCGGCTCGAGGCTAGAGATCTTCGCGCCCGGCCTATGAAGCAGTCACAGTAGTAAATACAGGATATGTCATTCTGCACTGAAAAACATCATTCACTCAAAAAGATCTGGAATGAAAATTTACACAAGAAAAAAAAAAAGCGTCACAAAAAAAGGTGGTCGTGAAAAGACCCTCCGCCCTGGTTGAGCTCAACGTCAGGAAGGGTACACTGAATGAACAAATATCGAAAAACAGGGGAGAAGACGAACAAAATCACTTCTTCCAAAAGCAACACCATGACACCACAACCTACCCCGGAACACACACGCCTTCCGCCCACTGCCATACAACAAAATAAAAAAAGAAAGAACTACAGCAGCGGTTCAACAGTCGCCGCTAAATTAATTGAAGAACCCACTGCTGTGATCTCTGAAACGGAACTCCAGAAAAGGAGCGGCGGGACGAATAGCGTACCGTACAAGTGGTTCCCATCGAGAACGAAATTCCTCCTGTCACAAAAAAGACGTGGTTTTTGCGAAAGAAAGACGTAACTTCCCTCCCGAAGCGAGATTATACATGCCCACAAATTCAACATGGAACGGTTTACGACAGCAAACACACGAGTGTATAGCACTAAATTCATGTTCCCGACCACGAGTCTGAGGCAGACCGACGGCGGGGAGGGAAAGCAAGAGCGCGACCCGAAGTCTCTCGCCAAGAGAGCGCATCACTCTGCACGCTTCAGTGTTTAAGGAGGTTAGGCCTGTGCGTGTCCAAGCGCGAGAGGCTCAACACCCGTTCGCCCAGCACTCGAGAGAGACTTTCCAAGAAACCAAAACTCGGGGTGTGTACACCTGTACCGCACCCCATGTACAGTAACCACTACGACGACCACATCTTCGGGTGGGTCAGTCCAGACCAAGGAACGCAATCTGAATCTGGCCGGTTCCTCTCTGGGCCGTGCAACAGCTCTCGACAACGATCGCCTTCGATTCATCAAGAGGTTACTTGCGACGAGTTGGGTGGGATGGCTCGGCTCTCGACTCGTGGATGTTGCACCGCACCGCGGCTGAGGTTAAAAGTTGTTCGGCTTGAATTGCTTGAACCCCAGCATGCTCAAGATCTGCAGGGTGAATCGCGTGCGAGAGGGAGAGAGAAGGGAAGGGAAATGAGAGACCAACTGGATGCAAACCAAAACCATCGTAAAAGACATGAATGCATGCTCAATGACGGCCGGGACAACGAAAACCGCTGCCACTTGCATGATGGCAAAGTGGGATACATACACAGACTTCAGCGGGGTATAGGGACTCTTGTTCGTTTCGCGCGCGAGGATACACGATTCCCTTACCCGCACATGCGTCACGAAGAAGCCTACGGATGAGGTGCGTACAGCCTTCCAAGTTTCGTGGCGACCCGACACCAGAGGTCGGGAAGACGCTGCGGCGCGATTTCGAGTCCTTCTCATTCCAATTTTTTAACTACTCCTGGCACTGTTTTTCCCACGATGGGAATTTAGTAATCATTCAGTAAAAGCCCGTTTGCCGTATAAATTACCTCGTTCACAACAAGATTCGGCCCGAGAATATACCGCGTCCAACAACAACAACATACACAGTTCATCAACGTCTATATATACGACTGACTATACCACGTGCAAAAAGGCTCACCTTCGAAGCGCCGAGGAAGGCGGCCGTGATGGAGCACTCAAGGAAGTCGCCCTTGGGCTGTCTCGCGTACACCTCCGCCGCTACCTTCGGGTTAGCGTACGGCCCCTGCAATCGGTACTGGTGCATCGTGAACTGCGGGTCACGCGCGCGCGTCAAGGCGGGGGGAGGGGAGGAGACAAACGACGTCGAAAGTAGAAACGTGGAGTTAGTATCGATTGCCAGGCTTCAGGGTCATTGGGAAGAGGTCCTGAACATCTGGGGACCTGGCTGAACAGACACGAAAGGAAAACACCTTTCAACCAGACACTCATGTACCTTTCCGACTTCCGCATCAAGGTTTCGAGGTATCTGGCGCCCATACACTCGTTTGGACACGGGCCACTCTACCAGGAACAGACAACCGACATACAGGTCGCATGTACGTGCGTGCCAAAAAGCTTCCTCAGATGCAAGTTTTCCAGCGCTGGGCAACTGGCTGCTGTTTGCAGAGGCAACTCACGGGGCCAAACATGATGGACATCCACAGCTTGGGCTTCTGGAAAAAGATCTTCATGAGGGGGGGCAGCACGCCCATCTCCTTGGCCAGGTCATCGGTGTAGATCTGGAAGTCCACCAGCCCCTTCACGCGCTTCGCGTCGTACCCGAAACGCCAGTCGTACTGAGCCTGCACAAGTGTGTTTCGTTTGGGAAGGCGTGAGGTGCGTTGTAAGGGAGAAGGAAGCAAAGAAGCGTCACCCAGGGGGGCTGCCGAGTGGACAAAAGCACCGAAGTCGTGAGGGCGGAGCAGCAAGCAGACCATCCGCAATACGCGCCCAGTAGAACGTAAAAACGAAACACACATGTAGACCACGTACGTGGATGTGGGGGAGGTTTCGCGGATTTCGAAGCCGAGATTCTCCGAAAGAAGCTTCACCTCATTTGCTGCTGGCAACCAACACAGCGAGAAGATTCATGTTTATGGACTGATTGGAGCTCACCATCACAGGGGACGAAGGAGACACGCACCTTGTCCTCTAGCGCGACCTTCTCCATCTTGGCCTTGCAGGGAAGGTCTAGGTCCCCGTTCACGACCATGGAGTAGAACCGCGACTGCATCTCCGAGGTCGGCGGGATGGACCCGAACGCCGGCCGCGCGAAGCCGAAGTAGGCCACCTCGCCGCCGTAGTTGGGGTGGAAAATCTGCTTGTAGAGGAGGCGTGGGTTTTGCCCGTACTCGTTGATGTCCGGGTGGGTCTCCTCGGCGAAGGGGAAGGTGTTCTTGTACCCCGTGCACGCCACGATCACATCGCACTCGAAGGTCGACCCATCTCCGAACACCGCCTTGTTCTGCGAACCACAGACAGGCGGTATTAGTGTGTGTTTCATTCATCAGAGAGTAGCTGTACGTATGCAAACACAGAGACTTCTTACCTACGCGTTCGATATACTACCACAGCGGCAGAAGGGAGGATGTGTTGTGAGTGAAATAATCACAGCTAACGGGAGAAGCAACATTTATTGTCGTTTACTACGTTGTTTTTGATACCCGCGACGTTTGAGCCGACGTGCTTCGTGAAACGGTAAAAACGGTGGACAAGATTGATTTTGGTTCGAACCTACAAAAAAGAAACACGTCCACGTTGTTTCCACAACTGTCCACAACACAAGCAGACCGTGCGGCACACACAAAACGCGTCCGAACGTGTGCGCAACCAAATAACACGGCTGGCATCTCTCACTCACGCCGACAAGCTCGAAGCCGCCCCTGTGGAGCGACGTGCCCCGTAGTACCATCGCCTCCACAAACCCGGCGTTCTTACAGCCGAACTTGCTGAAGGCGGAGGTGCACTGCCCCAGGTTAAGCTCCGCGATCTTCTTGAGGATCTTAGAGTCCTCGTCTGCCGGTCCCATCGACGCCACGAAGCGCTTCGCCTGAAACGTGTTTGCGCGAGGGGAGGAGGGAGGGGGGGGGGGGGGG